ATATATTTTATATATTCTATTTATTTATATAAGTACATCGTTGTGTATAACAATTTTTTGTATATGTGCATTTCAATAGGATTCAACTAGGATTTTATATTTTTTTGTAACCTTATTTTATATATCTTGTTTCATACCTTGTTTTTCATGTCTTTTAACATTATTAAAAATTAAAAAATTAGAGTTTTAATATTACTAGTATTCTATCTATTGCAGTGAAGAAATATCTTGTCAGCGCGATATATTAAGCGCTATGCAGGAGAATTTACAGAAAAGATTCGCATATTTGGAAAATTCAAATATAACACTAGATCAAATACTTTTGATTTTATTCGACGTTATGCAAGAATTCTTATTTACTAACGTTGATGGAAAATCATGTTTGGATCATCAAGTATCTGCGATCGAAGATCCGTTAATTGACGTTAACAACAATCTTCCTACAAAAACTATTCGCGACATTAATCAACATGATTTTAATACAGAAGCCACGAAAGATTTCGGTAATGATAATCATATAATCTAAAATTTTCACAAACTCTTAATACGAAAACAATTTAAAAATGCGATAACGAGTGATTATACCTCCAATAATTTTAAAAACTATTATGCGAATTTAGAATCTGATCGTTGTACGAGCTGTTCTCTTAAATCGACTGCCTTTTACTCCAAGAAATGCAATTTTGCATGCAAAAAAAAATCTGCATCCATCTTAGCGAGTTCATCAATGAAAGACATATTTGATGCTATTTCCTCTCCTCTAGCTTACAGAAAATCATATCGAGATATTAGTAAAGATTTTTGCGTAAGCAATTATAATATTTCTCCATGAAGCATTAAATTATAGCATAGTGTAATGTCAATGATTTTTATTTAGCCAGAAAAGATGGTAAAGATAAAAAGATTAAAATCGCCCCGTTATACCAAATGTAATTTAACGTGTCACTTGCGCAAAGTGAAAGATCCACTGTCCCTGCAGGAGAAGCGAAAATTACCTTGCACAATCGAGTGTTTGAATGACAGTATAATGTTACCAATGTGTCCAATGGATCCTTTATTAATTACTGACAGGCAAGGTCTCATTGAGATTCACATTTCGCGATTGCAACTTTCTACATCGGTTAGTATATCTCATACATTTTCCATTGTTTTTTGAAGTGGAGAATATAAACTTTATGTTATGTTTATTGAGATCATTAGGTTACAAATATTCCCGACGAAGAAGATATATGTAATCTTCACGTTTACGTAAGCTGGGATGTTTGGGGCGAAAAGACCGCTTATACACCGAGAATGAAGTGCCCTAATCTGATTTTTAATTCGTCCTGCGTATATCGTATACTGGATCTTTTCTCATTCTTCAAAAACGTACTGTCGGAATACCTCATTTTTCGAGTAAACATTGTTCGCCGAGACGGTACTAGCTACACATTCGCCCGAGCGAAAGTCTCCATTAAAGATATCTTAGATTATCCGCAAAACAAATTGCATTATATCGTTCCTGTGAACAGTATAATTTGTTCCTTCTTCGACGTTAATTTCGGCCAACTATCATTGTGGGTCCGATTGAGTTGTAATGTCGATATGGTCGAAGCTTTTAAGAAGCAAAACGGCATAAACTCGTTGAAAGATATCCAACAAAAGGAAAGTTCGGTGTCTGAAGATTCAACGGATACCCAAGCG